CCTTGACCGGAATCGAACCTGGGACCTTTCAGTCCGCAGACTGACACTCTACCACTGAGCCAAACCGGTTTCGGCAAGGTGGACAGTTCTTAATGCTTTTTAAATCGATGTTATTGTTTCTTTAGTTTACTTGTTTCTGAATTACAAGTAAAGTTGAGAGGTTTGCCCTTATATTTCTTCTGTTTCTGCTTGTTATTTCTCTTGTCAATCTTTCTGCTATGTTGTTTTTCTTATTGCTTTCGAAGAGCCCTTTGTATTTTGTCCATTTTATCAAACACTTCTTCCCAGACTGTAATTTGTCTGTTAACTTAGCATTTGCAGAGAGAAGCCTTGTTAATTTTGTGGCCTTCTTTGAGGACTTTAAACATTAATTGCTAAAGAAGAAACAACAAAGCAGACATGACGAAGTTACACAGTCAGCCCCTGGTCCTGGGTGAATGCCAGGTGTACTGGTTAATAATTTGGATTTTTTCCAATAGCTGGAGTTACACATATGTTGATATATATAAGATTTGACATGTATTATAGCAAGCTTCAAAACTTCATATATCAAATTTGCTGAAGGTGTTAACATTATAGATATTTTTACACTTAAAAATGTTGAATTTCGTTTTTTTTAAAAAAGAGCATTTGCAGGAAGTTTTAATTCATTATTTTGAAGAAAAAGTTATCAAATATTTCGGGAAGCTTATGGTGAACATGCTCCCTCTCAAGATACTTGAGAACACTGGCCTACACACTTTAAAAGTTATGACTTTGACATGAAAGACAACGAACGTCCAGGTCAACCGAAAAAGTTTGAAGAACAATAATTACAAGCATTATTGGATGAAGATGCATGTCAAAATCAAAAGCAACTTGCAGAAAGATTAAACGTTGCTCAGCAAACAATTTCCGATCCTTTACAAGCAATGGGAAAGGTTTTAAAGGAAGGAAACTGGGTGCCACATTAACTGAAGGAAAGACAAATGGAAAACCGAAAAGTCATCAGCAAAATGTTGCTTCAATGGCATGGAAGAAAAAGTCTTCTTTGCATCGAATTGTGACTGGCGATTGAAAGTGGATTTATTTTGAGAATCCCAAAGGCACAAAATAGTGGGTTGATCCACGTCAACCATCAACATTGACTACAAGGCCAAATTGCTTCGGAAAGAAGACAATGCTCTGCTTTTGGTGGGATCAGGAAGGTGTGGTGCATTATGAGTTTCTAAAACCAGGTGAAACCGTTAATACTGATCACTACCAACAACAAATAATCAATTTGAACCACACTTTGATCGTGAAACGACCAGATTGTGCAGAATACACGGCAAAGTAATTTTGCTTTATGATGATGCACCATCACACACTTCAAAACCAGTTAAAGACACGTGAAAAGATCTTGCCTGGGAAGTATTAACCCACACGCCATGTTCACCAGACCTTGCTCCTTCAGATGACCACTTGTTCTGATCGATGGCACAAGCACTTTCTGAGCAGCACTTCAAAACGTATGAAGAAGTGGAAAGTTTGGTCTCTGAATGGTTTGCCTCAAAACAAGAGAAGTTCTTTGGGGAGTATCCACAAATGACCTGAAAGATGGGGAAATGTGTAGCTAGTGATGGACGTTACTTTGAATAAAGCACTTCTGATGTTTCTCTTGAAATGATGGTGTTCTCTTTGATCACAAAATCCGCATTTGTAACCGGTACACCTAGCAGATCTCACCGGACTTGGGCCCTGCAGTCTGTAAAACGGGAATAATAAAACTGGCCTTACAGGAATTTAGGGACGTATGTAGCTTTCATTTCCTAAATTAGGTTCATAAGTCAGATCAGAGCGAGCAATTGATTTAAACACTGTATTTACTAGGCTCTTCTAACTTCAGGAGGAGGGGGCGGAGCACGGTGCACGTGGCCATTAAGATTATTCCTTAACATTACCCAGAACTACAGGAAAGTCAACTGACTGGAAATTCTATAACGAGAAGCAAGGAGGAAACCAGAAGGAAGCGCGGAGGAGCTGGAAAAGCCTAAGGTACAGAGACACGCGGCGCGGAGAGGATGGAGCCGGAGAGGAGGGCGGCTGAGTGCCTGGCTGGCGTTCCCTAGCGGGAAGGAGATAAAAGCTCTGACTGTGCTGGGCCCCAGTTCCGACTGCTCTGAACCCCAGTTCTAGGCCAGACCCCAGGGACCCAGGCTCACACAGAGGGAGCCGGGCTGTAGGGCGGAACCCAGGGGGAGCAGCGAAAGGAGGTCCCAGCGGTGCGCACATTGAGCGCAGAGAAGGGACAGTTGGCTGTGCCGCGGGACTGCCCTGGCGGGAAGGAGACTGGGGCTCCGGACTGCTCTGAACGCCGCCTCCAACTCCACTTTCAACTGAACTGAACCCCAATACCGGGCTCATAGGGGGAGAACCTAGACTGTTCGGTAGCAGGCGAAAATCGAGGGCACCTTTCTCTCAGAGGCACTTGCAACGAAGGACCCTGAGACTCAGGAGGTTCATAGGGCGGGGCTGACGGAAGCCAAGGCTGCAGGCTCCACCCTAAAACCCCGCCCCATCTGTAGCTGCGAAATGCGACGAAATAGATCACAAACGAAAGAAATGGAGGACAAAAAGCGACTGGATATAGAGTTCAAATCTACGCTTATAAGGTTTTTCAAGAATTTCCTAGAAAAGATCGATAAGACCTATGAAGATATGAAAAGAGATCAACTAGAATTAATAAGGAATCAACAAAAAATGATAAGTGATCAACAAGAAGTGATAAGGGATCAACAAAAAATATAGAATACATTGTCTGAAATAAAAAATATTATACAGAGTCCTAAAAACAGAATGGAAGATCCCAAGAATCAAGTCAAAGAGTTGGAACATAAAGAGACAGAAGACACTCCTCCGCAGAAGCTAGAAGGCAAGAGAATCCAGAAAATTGAAGATAATGTAAGAAACCTCTGGGACAACTTCAAGCGAACCAACATCAGAATTATGGGGGTCCCAGAAGATGAGAGAGAGCAAGATACAGAAAACATACTGAAAGAAATAGTGACAGAAAACTTCCCCCACCTGGGGAAAGAATTAGACTTACAAGTCCAGGAAGAGCACAGAACTCCAAACAAAAGAAATCCAAAGAGGACCACACCAAAACAAATCATAATTAAAATTCCAAGAGCAAAAGACAAAGAGAGAATATTAAAAGCAGCAAGAGAAAAGCAGGTAGTTACCTATAAAGGAGCACCTATACGATTGTCAGCTGATTTCTCAACAGAGACCATGCAGGCCAGAAGGGAATGGCAAGAAATATTCAAGGTGATGAAGAGTAAGAACCTACATCGAAAGATAATCTATCCAGCAAAGCTATCACTCAGAATCGAAGGTCAGATAAAGAGCTTCACTAATAAAGAAAAGCTAAAGGAGTTCATCAACACCAAACCAGAATTATATGAATTGCTGTAGGGGGTTCTTTCAGAGGAAAAAGTAAATAAAGATAAAAATTATGAACAACAAATATGTAACTATCAAAAAGTGAATCTAAAAACCAAGGAAATTAAAAAAAAATCTGATGAACAATATTAACTGTTGAATATAATAGAATCAGAGGTATGGAAGGGGAGTGAACTGACGATTCTTGGGGAAAAGGGGAGAGGGGGATGTGGGAAGAGACTGAACATAAACTGTGCACCTATGGATGAGGACAATGGGGAGTGGGGAAAGGGCAGAGGGTGGGGTGGGAACCTGGTGGAGGAGAGCAATGGTGGGGGGTGGGGGGAGGAACATTTGTAATAATATGAACAATAAAAATTTATTTTTTTAAAAAAAAGATTATTCCTTAACGTGCCCAGTAACGGCACTGGATCCTGTTAACAACCCCCAACTCGCGCAAACGCTCTGGAGAACGCAGTATCCCAATTTTACCCGGAGCAACCGAGTCCACGGAACCCAGATTCCTGGTTTTTTAAACTAAGTGCCTCACCACCACCGAGCTGTCTGCGCGCCTCCGTCGGGAAGTCCTCCGGCCTGCCTCCCCTTCCGGTGGGTTAGACCAGCCGAGGGGCGGCGAGACGGAGTGCGACGCGGAACCAAATGTCCCGGGCTCGGGTGTCCCGGGCTCTCTTTACTTGCTGTTTCCCCGCGGTGCCTTTTGGGAGTTGTAGTCAGACGCGCTTCAGCTAGTTTGTTGGACGGACAAGGGAAAAACTACAAATCCCAGTATGCCCTGCGGCGGGCGGGTGCAGCGCCTGCTCTTATCCTCCCCACTTTCCCACTCTTTCCCTTCTCTTCTGAATCCTCCACTCGGGACCCCTGTCTGTGAAATCCTTCGTCGCTCTCCTTACCCCTTTCTCTAATTTTTAACCGTCCTCCCCCCTATTTCCTGGAGCCAGTGCGAGACATTGACTCCGATTAAGCGACGTTCACGAGTTGGGGTCGACCGAGCGGTAAGGGGCCGGGAGCGGGGCTGGCGGAGCGCAGGAGCGGCGAGTGGAGGGAGGAGTGGGAGAAAAGCAGGAAGTTAGACGGGACGTTGTGGATCAGGTTGAGTTGGGCGAGTAGTCTTGGGGGAAGGAAAAGGAAAGAGGTAGGATTGGATTTGGGAGACAGGGAGGGGAGAGGTAGCGTATAGCCTGCCCAGCAAGAGTCGTGGGGCCGAGAAGTACCGGAAGATGCGAAGGTCTGACAGATGTGGAGCTTATGGCTCCTCTGACCAGGAGAGGTCGGTCACTGCTCAGTAAAGAGGAGACAGATTACCGAAGTACAAAATTATTTTGAAAATAGGGGACAATTAACAGTTTTGTTGCCTGGAAATTGAGAGAAGACTGGAGTTGAGGCCAGAGTGGGGAGAGGAGGCAGGAGAGGAAGAAGTCAGTCAGCTTTGGGAGAAACAAGAGATGAATGACATGGAAAGGGAAACCAGAGAAAAGATGGGTCACGGTGGGGCCATGGATCTGGGACCTGAATGAGAAAGGCGGGGTGACGTGGCACCCACTGCGGGTTGCGTTTCTAACCCTTGCATCTCTCAGGTGATGGAGAGCACCCCGTCGCGGGGTGGGCTGAACCGAGCACACCTGCAGTGCAGGAATCTGCAGGAGTTCCTCGGGGGCCTGAGCCCTGGGGTGCTGGACCGACTGTACGGGCACCCTGCCACCTGTCTGGCTGTCTTCAGGTGAGGAGGCCCTCCATGACAGGACATGTGGGAGATGAAATGGGCCTGCAGACTGGGTGAGTCTGGGTAGAAGCATGATGCTAAGGGGCTTGGAGACTGAAGGGTGTCAGTCAGAACAGATGGTGTTTGTGGGCAGCGAACCGGTCAGGTTGTGGGGGGAGGGCTGAGATGCAGGTGCTGACATTACGCTGTCTCTGCCCCTTGCAGGGAGCTCCCGTCCTTGGCTAAGAACTGGGTGATGCGGATGCTGTTTCTGGAGCAGCCTCTGCCACAGGCCGCGGTGGCCCTGTGGGTGAAGAAGGAATTCAGCAAGTGAGTCTGCTGCATTCTCCACAGCCACACTCCCAGACTGCTGTTCCTGGGAACGTTTTCAGGAAATGCTAATGGCACAGCCCGAGCTTGTGAGAAATAAGGCTGGGAAGCTCGGCATGCTGTATTCCTCGGGGAGGGAGGGCTGTGCTGTCCATAGCGAGGCTCTGGTAAGGGCTGCGGTCCGGACATTTACCTTAAGAAGGCTCTGATTTCACGCAGAAACAGTGCTCCATGGATCACCAATTCAGAAAAGGTAGGGATGGAGGCCATCCTGGGCCTCCTGTTTTTGTTCTCCAGATAACCCCTCACTCTCTGTTTCTGTGTCAGAGCTCAGGAGGAGAGTACAGGGCTGCTGAGCGGCCTCCGGATCTGGCACACGCAGCTGCTTCCTGGTGGTCTTCAGGGCCTCATCCTGAACCCCGTCTTCCGCCAGAACCTCCGCACTGCCCTTCTGGGTGGGTATGTCCTTCCTGATCTTCCTGGCCGGGCCAGGGACTCAGCTGGTGGAGGCAGAGCTCCTGAGGGAGTCCCTGTAGGAACGAGTGGGACGGACGTGGCTGCGCAGTGTGGGAAGACCTCCCCTCATGGCCCATGGGGACGAGGGTGGAAGGAGGGCGGGCGTGGCCATGGAACACAGGCAGGGCTCCTCACGCTTGGCCTATCCGGGCACAGGGGCAAGGCCTGGTCTGATGACACAAGTCAGCTGGGACCAGACAAGCACGCCCGGGATGTCCCCTCGCTGGATAAGTACGCCGAGGAGCGCTGGGAGGTGAGGCCTCGGGACGCTGTGTCCTCTGCTTGTGCTTCTGCTTCCCCGGCCCTAGAGCCATCTGCTCTCGCATCCCTCAGGTGGTCCTGCACTTCATGGTGGGCTCCCCGAGCGCGGCCGTCAGCCAGGACCTGGCTCAGCTCCTCAGCCAGGCGGGGCTGATGAAGAGGTGAGGAAGCCACACGAACACCTGCCCGCTGCGCCTGCCTTCCTCTGAACTGAGTGTCCGGGGCTAGGAGTGGAGGGTTTGGTGAGGGAGAGTGAGCGGAGGGCGGCTGGAGATAAAGCAGAAGCTGGGAGAGGATGGGGGGGGGGTGGATGGCCGATGGCCTCACCCACCGTCCCTCTCCCGTCCCCAGTGCTGAGCCTGGAGAGCCGCCCTGCATCACCTCTGCTGGCTTCCAGTTCCTCTTGCTGGACACGCCCGCCCAGCTCTGGTACTTCATGCTGCAGTACCTGCAGACGGCCCAGGTGAGGGCGCTCTTCCCGAGGCCCCTCCGAGGCTGCTGCCAGCAGCCTGCTCCCTGACCCTCCTCTCCTTGTCTCTGCCCACCCCTCCTTAGAGTCGGGGCATGGACCTGGTGGAGATCCTCTCCTTCCTCTTCCAGCTCAGCTTCTCTACTCTGGGCAAGGTACGCAGGGACTGGAGCTGGGGGGGCTGATGGGGAGCTGAAGGGGTGAGGTGGGAAGGGGAAGGGCGGCCGAGCGGCTGTGGAGTGGAAGGTGAGAAGGAACAGAGCACGGCCCGAGGTGGGAGGAGAGCGAGTGGGTGGGCGTGGCGGGGGGGATGGGAGGTGTCTCGGACCCCAACTGGCTACCTCTTCCCCAGGATTACTCTGTGGAGGGCATGAGTGATTCTCTGTTGAACTTCCTGCAGCACCTTCGTGAGTTTGGGCTTGTTTTCCAGAGGAAGGTATGAGCACCCACACACGGCTGCCGGGGAGAGGGGGTCCATGCTGCCGTGGCCTTCGGGAGGCAGCAGGAAGCAGTCCCAGGATGCTGGGAGAGGAGTTGGGGTGGGGCTCTGTGCACTGGGCTCCGTGTCTCGGAAGGAAGGCATGACAGCTGCGGGCTCTGCCTTGCCCCCCCTTCCCAGAGGAAGTCCCGGCGGTACTACCCCACGCGCCTGGCCATCAACCTCTCAGCCGGTGTTTCTGGGGCCGGGGGCACTGCACACCAGCCAGGCTTCATCGTCGTGGAAACCAATTACCGGTTGTACGCCTACACAGGTGAGGCCCTGGGAGAGCAGGTTGGGATGGGAGTGGGGAGGGAAGGGGGCCGGAGGAAGTGTCTTTTTTTCAGTTTACCTGACAGTGTACAGTTTCCGGACACTTCGGATTACACATGAGGCGGGGGAGGGAGGCTGGGTGTAGGGCGGCTCCCTCATCCTCTCTTCCTGTCCCCGGGCAGAGTCAGAGCTGCAGATCGCCCTCATTGCCCTCTTCTCTGAGATGCTCTATCGCTTCCCCAACATGGTGGTGGCGCAGGTCACCCGGGAGAGCGTGCAGCAGGCCATCGCCAGCGGCATTACAGCCCAGCAGGTAGCCCCGCTCGGGGCGGCGGGAGACGGGTGCGGCGTTGCAGCAGGTGGTGTGAAGCTGCTGAGCACAGAGCAGGCAGGGGCAGCGCGGCTCTAGGAGGGAGAGGCTGCAGGGAGGAGGCTAGCTCTGATGTGTCTTGGCACCACTGCTTCTAGCTGCACACGCAGGCGCAGTGCTTCCTTTCGGGCTCAGTCTCCTTACGTGGGAAATGGGAACCATGAGTTTTCACTCGCTGGGTTGAGGGAGGATTCAGTGAGGAGCTCAGAGCTGCCACGCAGTAAGTGCTGCTATTGTAAAGGAAACGAAATAAGACTGTGCAAAGGGCGATGGGATGGCAGGCATGACGGGGGAACAGCAGCTGGGGCAGCAGTGAGCAGGCCATGGGCTGCTGACGCATGTGGCTAAGCTTGTGAGCAGACGGCGATGTTCCAGTGACTTTGGGTGATGGCCGAGGTAGTGATCCTGCCCTCTTATTGAAGCCCTTGATTTCACTCTTCTCTGTTGTTTTAGATCATTCATTTCCTAAGGACAAGGGCCCACCCAGTGATGCTTAAACAGGTACAGACAGGTACCACGCTGCTGGCGGCTGACAGCCCTGGCGCTGGTGGTGAAGCGCTGGAAGGTCTGGGGGGTGCGTGGAGGCTGGTCCTCTGGAGCAGGGTTCCGAGTCTTACAGCCATCCCCTGGCCCGCAGACTCCTGTGCTGCCGCCCACCATCACAGACCAGATTCGGCTGTGGGAGCTGGAGAGGGACAGACTCCGCTTCACCGAGGGTGAGTGGCTTTGCTGGTTGATTTTCAGCCATTGGCCAGAAGAAGGACAGTTCCATCTTGATGAGCTGAAAAAGCTATTGATGCATTTTATTTTTTTGTCTTGCTGACAAGACACTTTATTTTCGGGTGAGTCTCAAATCTGTGCAATTTGGACTTAGAAGAGGGAAATTGGGAGGGGTTATTAACCTCTCTGGTTGGGGAAGCATTACAGGTGTTCTTATTGCACTGTGTTGTCCTGATTATGGTTGGATGAGCCATGGGAGAGACGTGGAGGGCGAGATGGAGATGGTGGTGGCCTGTGCTCACCCTCGCCGCCTCTCCCGCAGGCGTCCTGTATAACCAGTTCCTGTCGCAAGTGGACTTTGAGCTGCTGCTGGCCCACGCGCGGGAGCTGGGCGTGCTGGTGTTCGAGAACGCGGCCAAGCGGCTCATGGTGGTGACGCCTGCGGGGCACGGAGACGTCAAGCGCTTTTGGAAGCGGCAGAAGCACAGCTCCTGAGCGCCGCGCCGCGGGCGCTCGCGGGACTTGGGGGCGGGCGTGCCCGTGGGACGCTGCCGCTCAATAAAGTGGAGTGCTTGCTCCTCGGCCCGGCCCCTCCCTCTCCGCCGTCCCCCGCTCGCCCATTGGCTGGGAGGGTGGGCGGAGCCTCGACTGCTGCGCATGCGCCCTCCGAGCCCCGCCCCCTGCGCCGCGCGGCCGCGGGTCCGGTTCCGGTAGCTCAGTCCTCTGCGTCGCCGCCGCGGGGCGCCCTGGGGTGGCGGTGCACCCGCCGGGTGAGCGCGCGGGGCGGCCTCCGGGCTGGGACGCGCGGTGCGCCCGCCGGGTGAGCGCGCGGGGCCTGGCCGCGCGGGCGGCGCTGGGCAGGCCGGGCCGTGGTGACTGGCCGGACCCTTGCTGGCTCTCGGCGCGCCGGTGTCGGCCGTCTCCCGAGCCCTTCGCCTTCCCGCGTGCCAGCGGTCACTCTGCGCACGTGCGTAGGTTGGGGCCAGACACTGGCCCTCGCCCCGGAGGACTCCTCGTGGCTCCGTCCGGTGCCCAGGGCGGGTGGATGCGGTGACCGCGGTGCGAGGAGGAGGCGGGAGTAAGGCGTGACCTGAGGGGTGTGACCCGCCCCACCGTGTCCTCCCCAGGCGCCTGTCCGAGCCTCCGATGCCGCGTTGGCCTCTGGCCTCTTTCCGGCCATGGGGGCTGAGGCCCTCACGGGGCCTCCCCAGGACCCATCCCCTTTCTACCCAGTCAGAGCCCTCTGGGCCCCGCACCTCCCGGAGGAACCGCGAGGCCAGGCAGCAGCGCCTGCGAGAGAAGCAGGCGGCGCTGGAGGCTGGGCTAGCCGGGGAGAGCCAGGTGGGTGGCGCCGCCTGTCGGGGTCCCCGGGGAGGGAGGGGCTGGGGAGACGACCCGGTGCCTGGGCTACACTGGGAGCTGCAGCCCTCCGCCGGCCCCGCCCCCAGCCCCCCGCAGAATCCAGTAAGGCCTGGACTCCCAAAGAGGTCGTGCTGTATGAGGTCCCCACGGAACCCGGTGAGAAGAAAGGTAACAGCGCGCTCTCCCGGGGTCGCCCGTGGGGCTGCAGCCCCAGCGGCCGAGTGAAGAGCTCTGCCCGCTCCACTGAGGCTCCCATCTGCCCGCCTCCACAGACATCTCCCAGCCGCTGCCTGCTGCTTACAGCCCCCGCTACGTGGAGGCGGCCTGGTACCCTTGGTGGGTGCGAGAGGGCTTCTTCAAGCCCGAGTATCAGGTCCGTCCTGGCGGGGAGTGGGCCCCAGGGCAGTGCCCGTGGGGTGGGCGGGCTGAGTCCCCACAGCCAGTCTCTGGAGAGCTTGTCTCCTGCTCCAGGTCCCCTCACCTCCTCTGGGCAGGTCCCCCGCCCTGTAACTTGCAGGACCCTTCTTCCCGCCGTCCTTACGCCTTGGAGACAGCAGAAGGAGCTGTTCACCCTTCTCTCGCCCTTTGCCTTGGCTCCTAGACCAGGCTGCCCCAGAGCACCGGGGAGACCTTCTCCATGTGCCTGCCCCCCCCCAATGTCACCGGGTCCCTGCATGTGGGGCACGCGCTGACCGTGGCCATCCAGGACGCTCTTGTGCGCTGGTGAGGGGAGGGGGCCCTGGAGCTTGGGGGGGGGCGGAGGATGGGTGTGTAAGCTCAGGGCTTCACATGTGCGTGCTCCTGCTGCAGGCACCGGATGCGTGGGGATTGCGTGCTGTGGGTCCCTGGCTCAGATCATGCAGGGATTGCTACCCAGGTATGTCTTTTGCCAGTTTCCTTTTCTCGGTGCAAGAGAGCTCTCCCAAAGCTCCGGCTCACCGCTGCCTCACTCCTAGGCTGTGGTGGAGAAGCAGCTGTGGAAGGAGCGGGGGGTGAGCAGACACGAGCTGGGCCGGGAAGGCTTCCTCCGCGAGGTGTGGAAGTGGAAGGAGGAGTGAGTGCTGGCATGGGCGAGGAGGTCATGGGGTGGGACCTTGCTTCCCAGCCTCCCAGCTTGTGGTTGCTCTTCCCATCCCCCACTTCCCTAACTTCCAGAGACTTGAGTGCTGGAGCCACTTAGCGTTGGTGGGGTCTCCAGGCCGTGTGTGTGTCTGTGTGTGACACAGTGAGGTGTGTTTATTGATGTACGTGTATGTGTGTGCACTTACACTCGCCCACTGGCCCCGTTTTCCTGTCTAGATTTTATCCTCTTCCTCACCCACGGCCACCTGCCCTCTGCTGAGCCTGCCCTCGTTTCCCCAGGTCAGCAGCACATGCCAGCTCCTCTGCAAAGCTGCTCTGCGTTTCCCACGAGTCGGCCGCCCTGTTACTATAGAACTTCGTGCTTTTACAGTATATATAAGTTTATTAATTTCAGAAAGGAAGAGAGAGAGAGGTAAAAGCATAAATGAAGAGAGAGAACCATTGATTGGCTGCCTCTTGCACACCCCACCCTGAGGTCAAGCCTGCAACCCTGGCATGTGCCCTGACTGGGGATCGAACCAGGACCTCCTGGTTCATAGGTCAGCGCTCAACACTGAGCCTCGCCGGGGGGCTCTGCTCTTTTCAGTGTTCTAGAAGGCTCCATACTGTACATTAGCTTCCGGAGGCTGGGCCATGCTCCTCTGCCAGCCCCCAGTGTGGCTGCGTGTCCCTGGGCCTGGTCTTGGTGCTCGAACACGCTTGCTGACAGACCTCTCTGGGCACAGGAAAGGGGGCGAGATCTGCAGGCAGCTCCGAGCTCTGGGGGCCTCCCTGGACTGGGACCGGGAGTGCTTCACTATGGACGCAGTGAGTGCCCGCAGGCCCTGTGGGCTGAGGGGCTTAGCGCGATGGGCGGGTGGTGAGTGTCAGGCAGCGGGCGGAGTGCCGGCCCCGACCGGGGGCGGGCTGAGAAGGGCTGCTGGTGTGGACGCTCGGTCATCCTAGGGCTCCTCGGTGGCTGTGACGGAAGCGTTTGTGCGACTCCACAAGGCAGGGCTGTTGTACCGCAGCCGGCAGCTGGTCAACTGGTCGTGCGCTCTGAGGTCGGCCATCTCGGATGTTGAGGTGAGGCGGGGAAGAGAGGCGGCTGCGGGAGCCCGTGGCGGTGGGAGCCGGAGGCTGGAGCGTCCAAGGCCCCGCCGCCGCCCTGAGCCTCGGCTGTCGCAGTCTGAGCATGAGGGCTGATGGGAAGCCCTGGGTGCTGTGAGGGCGGGGGAGGCCTCCTGGGAGGGTCAGCCCAGCCCCTGTGTGGCTGTGCCCTGTGCACTGCGGCGGCCCCTCCCTCTGGGCTTCAGCAGGTGTGCTGCAGAGGCTGGGCGGCCGGCGGTGACCTTGCTCTCAGACCTGCTTCGCCACCCTCTAGGTGGAGCACCGGTCCCTGCCTGGCCCCACTGAGCTCCGGCTGCCCGGCTGCCCCACCCCTGTGACTTTCGGCCTCCTCATCTCCGTGGCCTTCCCCGTGGATGGAGAGCCTGGTGAGGCCACCACTCACCCTGCTTCCCTGTTTCTCGAGCCCACGAGGCTGGGGAGCGGGAGAGACCTGGCAGTGTTTGTGTTCTGTGGGCAGTCAGCCTGCTCCTGCCCCGGGAGCTCAGAGTAACTGCAGGGGGCTGTCCGGGCAGACGGTCCGCTCGGGAGTGGGGTGGGCAGGCGGTGCTCTGGGTTCCAGGCGGGCTGCTAGATGAGCTGGAGTGTCAGGGTGTTGGTGGTGGGAGGCGCAGCATTTGTGATTGGGGCCCGACCGCCCCGGGTCCCTGGGCCCCGTGCCTTCCCAACGCCAGGCACCAGCCTCTGTCCCAGCTCCTAGGCCTGGTCCTCTTGTCTCCTTATTTCAGCCCCTCCCTCTCCCAGTCCCCCTGCCTTTAGCTGTGTCTGGGGTGAGGGTGAGAACTAGCTGGATGTGCTTGAACTTTACCCCCAGACGCAGAGGTCGTGGTAGGGACCACGAGACCAGAGACATTGCCTGGAGACGTGGCAGTGGCTGTTCATCCCGATGACACCCGATACACAGTAATGCCTGCCCTGCCCTGCCTGCCCGCCATCCTGCCACCGCTTCCCCCTCCCTCCCCCCGGTGGCTCCTGCTCTCTAGCTTCCCTCCAGGGTCCTGAGGCTGCCATTCTCATGTCACACTTTTCCTCTAGCTGGGGTTGACCAGGTCTGGCAGGCCAGATCCCTGCTGCCGACCACGTGCCTACCTCCAGGCAGGGCGAGGAGCCAGAGGCTATTGGCCCTCCGCGCAGAGCCTCCAGTGGTTACCCCCAGCCCCTGAGGAAACGATGGCCGCCCTCTGACCTCAGGGTCCCGCCTGCCCAGGCCTTTCTGCCCACAGGGCCGCCCTTGCCCTCTCCCTCCCACAGCACCTGCACGGGCGGCACCTCTGTCACCCCCTGACAGGGCAGCTCCTGCCCCTGGTCACAGACTCTGCTGTCCAGCCGCACGTGGGCACGGGTGAGTGCGTGGGTGCCGTGGGGAAGGGGGAGGCCGTGCGGGGATGGGGCGGGAGGAGGGGGAGAGGCGGGACCGCATGGAGTGGTCTGGGTGGGGGGGGGGGGTAGCAGGAGGAGGGAGGGCCGGGAGGACGGGCCATGAGGGAGCCTACACTGTCGGCCTCTGTGCTCCCCAGGGGCAGTGAAGGTGACTCCAGCGCACAGCCCTGCGGACGCCGAGCTGGGGGCCCGCCACGGCCTGCGCCCCCTGAGCGTCATTGCGGAGGACGGGACCATGGCCCCCGCCTGTGGGGACTGGCTGCAGGTGGGACCGGCCTACTGTTCCCCACCCTGTGGGGGGGCACCCCGTTCTCCTTCCTGTGGAGGCCTTGAAGCTTTATGCTGCGCCTTCCCAGGGTCTGCACCGCTTCGTGGCCCGGGAGAAGATCCTGTCCGCGCTGAGGGAGCGGGGCCTGCTCCGGGGCCTCCAGAGCCACCCCATGGTGCTGCCCCTTTGCAGGTGACACCCCTAGCGGGCTCCGCAGGCTCCGGGGCAGGCGGGGGCTCGGGCTCCCGGCTGGATTGCAGGCCGCGTCATGTCACTGGCCGCCGTGTCCTCAGGGCACGGAGCCCAGGGGAGAGGCGGGGCTGGGCCAGGGCTCAGCCATCTCCCTTTCAGCCGCTCCGGGGACGTGGTGGAGTACCTGCTGAAGAGCCAGTGGTTCGTCCGCTGCCGGGAGATGGCGGAGCGCGCGGCGCAGGTGAGGCAGGACGCCGGGTGCGGTGAGGGCACCGTGGGCAGGGAGGGGCGTGGCCCAGAGGGCGGCTCGTGTCCTCACTCGAGCCCAGGACCTTCTCGGGAGTTCGGGGTCCTTTTGAGCTGGAGAAGCAGAGGGCAGGCGGGCGGGCGGGGGCACTGGCAGCGTCTCCCGCAGGCTGTGGCGTCTGGGGCCCTGGAGCTGAGCCCCTCCTTCCACGAGAAGACCTGGCGGCTCTGGTTCTCCCGCACTGAGTAAGAGGGCTCAGGCGGGCGGGCGGGCGGGCGGGCGGGCGGGGAGGGGTGGCGTTGCTCCCGCTGAGAAGCCACTCTGCGCTGGCTCTGCCGCAGGGACTGGTGCGTCTCCCGGCAGCTGTGGTGGGGCCATCGGATTCCAGCCTACCTGCTCGTGGGGGAGCCCGGGACGATGGTAGGAGCAGAGCCGGCGGGCGGGGGGGCGGGCTGGCGGAGCAGGCAGAGTGGGGCTTAGCCTGGAGGTGCAGGCCTGTGGGGGCTCAGGCCATCTCGCCGTGGTCCAGCCTCAGTCCTGTGACCTCCCCGCGCTGGCTCTGGCCTTCCTCTCCGTGCGGAGGCCCTGGGAGACCCAGAGACGGGCTTCCCGCCTGCGCGGCTCCTCATGCACCTCCTTCTGCAGGGCCACGGGGAGGACTGCTGGGTGGTCGGGCGGACGGAGGCTGAGGCCAGGGAGGCGGCCGCAGAGCTGACAGGGAGGCCAGGCGCCGAGCTGATCCTGGAGCGCGGTGAGGGCCGGGCCTGCAGGGGGTGTGTGGTGGGGAGCTGACGGGGAGGGCAGGGCTGAGCGCGCAGCTGAGGCCTGGAAGCTGAGTTCCAGTTCTGTTTCGCAGACCCCGATGTCCTGGACACGTGGTTCTCGTCAGCTCTTTTCCCCTTCTCTTCCCTGGGCTGGCCCCAGCAGGTGAGGTCCTGGAGCCGCAGAGGGAGGTGGAGGTGAAGGACCGTGTGGCCTGTCTCAGGAGGTGGCACCAGGGCCTCTTCCGCTTGTCTTTTCCTCCCAGACGCCAGACCTCACTCGCTTCTACCCCCTGTCGCTTCTGGAGACGGGCAGTGACCTCCTGCTGTTCTGGGTGGGCCGCATGGTCATGTTGGGGACCCAGCTCACGGGGCAGCTCCCCTTCAGCAAGGTAACACCCTGTCGTGCCCTGTCCCTCGGTAGCTCGTGTCCCCAACCTTGTCCTCCCTCTAACCCCTGCCTTGGTGGTCTCCCCTCCCAAATCCCTCCCCTCCTTCAACCCTAAAGCCCACGGGGCCCCGGGAAGGCTCTCCAGGCCGCCCTCCGCCCTCTGCCCCAGGTGCTTCTGCACGCCATGGTCCGGGACAGGCAGGGCCGGAAGATGAGCAAGTCCCTGGGGAACGTGCTGGACCCACGGGACCTCATCCGAGGGGCAGAGCTGCAGGTAGGATGAGAGCCGGGCAGGGCTGAGTTTGTGGGGGCAGGAGCCATCTGGGGGGTCGGGGGGACCCTTGTAGGGGTGGGTCTGGGACGAGGCCAGCAGATCCTCTCCTGTCCCAGGTGCTGCAGGAGAAGCTGAGGGATGGGAATTTGGACCCCAAAGAGCTGGCGATCGCGGCTGCCGCGCAGGTGTGTCCCCGGTGTCTGCCCCATCGGCCTCCAGCTCACAGCCACTGGCCTTCTCTGCGGCCCAGGCTCCTGGCCCTGCAGCCTCATGGACATCTGCCACCCCTCCTCCCTCTGGTTGCAGAGAAAGGACTTCCCTCACGGGATCCCCGAGTGTGGGACAGATGCCCTGCGCTTCGCTCTGTGCTCCCATGGGGCCCTGGGTAAGCCGGGCAAGGTGTTGGGGTCTCGAAGAGGGGCTGACAGGGCTGAGGACGCCCCGTGCCAGCGCCGCCCGCCTGCATGCGCTCCCCTATCTCCTCCCAGCGGGGGACCTGCACCTGTCTGTCTCTGAGGTCCTGAGCTCCCGCCATTTCTGCAACAAAGTCTGGAACGCCCTGCGCTTTATCTTCAGCGTCCTAGGGGAGAACTTCACGCCGCAGCCCGCGGAGGAGGTAAGGGAGAGCTGGCGGTGGGGTTGTCTGCTGTCTGCTGTCTGGGGAAAGGGAGGGGCGTGGGAGTCGAGCCCTCCTGTGACCTGCAGCCCCTTCACCTGCAGCTGAGCCCCGCGTCCCCCATGGACGCCTGGATCCTGAGCCGCCTGGCCCGCACCGCCCGGGAGTGCGAGCGCGGCTTCCTCGCCCGGGAGCTGCCGCTCGCCACCCACGCCCTGCACCGCTTCTGGCTCCACAGCCTCTGTGACGTCTACCTGGTGAGGAGGATGAGCCGGGGAGCCCTGGCTCCCCCGGGGCTGGCCGAGCCTGCCCCGCCCTCGCCCTGGCGGGGCGGCGGGGCGGAGGGGCGGAGGGGCGGCGGGGAGGCGGGCGGCGGGAGGCTTCTGAAGCGGCCCGACAGGCAGGCCCGAGGTGGAGGGAGCTTCTTCCTCAGCCTCTGACTCGGGTCAGGCCGGGCAGCTGGCGCTGGCGCTGGCGCTGGGCTGGCTGGGAGGCAGCGCCATGGTGTGCACCGGTCTCCCAGCCGACGCCGCGGGAGGGCGGCGCGGGCTCCCCAGGCGGCTGTGGAAACCGTTGTCCACTGCTTGTCCCCGGGGTGCCGTAGCTCAGGACCGCTGTCCGGGTGCTGCTTCTCGGTCTTCTAAAACTGTCCTCGATGAGCAGAAAACAATACTTTTCTTTCTGAGTTACACCGCCTCCCTGCAGTTCGGTTACCCGCCTACCTCTGAGAGTCCTGCCTGGGGCTCCCCTCCTTACGGGACAGCCGATGCTGGCCCCAGTCCTGGCTGTGGCTGCAGGGTGTGGCGTGATGCGCAGGCTTCTCCCCAGGAGGCCGTAAAGCCCGGGCTCTCGCACAGCCCCCGCCCGCCCGGGCCGCCCCAGGTGCTGCTCTGCTGTGCGGACGTCGGTCTCCGCCTGCTGGCCCCGTTCATGCCCTTCCTGGCGGAGGAGCTCTGGCAGAGGCTGCCCCCCGGGCCGGGCGGCCCCCGCGCCCCCAGCATCTCTGTTGCCCCCTATCCCAGTGCCCAGAGCCTGGTGAGTCACACCCCTGGGTGCCTGGGGGCGGGGTCTTCCGAAAGGCCCTGTGTGGGTCGCCAGCAGCTGGCACTTCACTGTGGGGCTTGGGGGTTCTGCAGTGGGGGCCCTGTTAGCACCGTGCCTCGGTTTCCCTGTCGGTAAGCCGGACGGCAGCAGGCAGGGCCATGCTGTGATGAGAGTGGATGGCCCGGATGGCTCGGGCTCAGTGCAGTTCTAAGCTTCAGTAACCTGCGAAGGGTGAATGCCGCAAACATACCCAAAACCATCTGCAAGCTGAACTGAGTTTTTAAATGATGTGTGTTGTGAGTTAAGTGGTTTTGTGTTTTAAATGTCTTATTTTTGGTTGTTTGGTGTCGTCAGAGCAACTGACAGACACCAGCCTCTGGTCGTCTAAGATGGTAGAAGGTGCCACGTTTGGTGGGTGGCACCCCTGTGGCAGTGCAGAGGCGCGGGCGGGCGGGCGGGCAGAGGAGAGCCGGGAGCGCTAGCAGGTCCGGGAGCCGCTACCAGAGCCCGCAGCCGCCCTCTGCCTCCTCCGCCTGCAGGAGCGCTGGCATCGCCCCGAGCTGGAGCGGCGCTTTTCCCGGGTCCAGGAGGCCGTGCAGGCGCTGAGGGCTCTTCGGGCCACGTACCAGCTCACCAAGGCCCGGCCCCGAGGTGAGGCGTGGCCTGGGGAGAAGCAGCGCGGCCGGGCAGGGGCGGCGGGGCAGCGCGGCGGGGCAGGGGCGGCGGGGCAGGGGCGGCGGGGCAGCGCGGCGGGGCAGGGGCGGCGGGGCAGGGGCGGCGGGGCAGGTGCGGCGGGGCAGGGCCGGCCGGTGGGGCAGGGCCGGCGGGGCAGGGCGGCCGGACAGGGTGGCGGGGCAGGGGCAGCCGGACAGGGTGGCGGGGCAGGGGCAGCCGGACAGGGTGGCGGGGCAGGGGCAGCCGGACAGGGTGGCGGGGCAGGGGCAGCCGGACAGGGTGGCGGGGCAGGGCGGCGGGGCAGGCCTTGACCCTGACCGGCCCTTTCCCCAGTCCTGCTGCAGAGCTCGGAGCCCGGAGAGCGGGATGTCTTCGAGGCCTTCCTGGAGCCGCTGGGCACCCTGGGCCGCTGCGGGGCTGTGGGTCTCTTGCCCACGGGTGCCCCCGCCCCCTCCGGCTGGGCCCAGGCCCCGCTCAGCGAGGGCGCCCAGGTCCACATGGAGCTGCAGGTGCCAGAGGGGCTGGGAGCTGGGCGGGCCCGAAGGCGCGGGGCGGCGGGCGGGCGGGTTCTGAAGCGGGGAGGGTCTTCGTGTGGGAGGCGCAGGGCGGCCACGATGCCTGTCCTCCTGCAGGGCCTGGTGGACCCGCAGGCCCACCTGCCTCTGCTGGCCGCCCGGAGGCACAAGTTGCAGAAGCAGCTGGACGGCCTGGTGGCCCGGACCCCGTCAGAGGGAGAGGCTGAGGCGCGGCGGCAGCAGAGGGTGAGGCTGGGAGGCTGCCCAGGGAGCCCGCCCCCGAGGGAGGGGGGCCTCCTGCCAGCCCTTACTGCTTCTCGCCCTCCAGCTCTCTGCCCTCCACCTGGAACTGTCCAAACTGGACCAGGCGGCCTCTCACCTCCGGCAGCTGATGGCTGTGTCTCCCAGCCCCAGGGACCCGTGAGCCTCTGCCTGGCCCTCCGCCCGCAGACCTGCCTGTGGAGACAGACAGGCGGGGCCTGCAGCTGCTGGCAGGGCCTCAGAAACACGGGTGCCCCTCGCTCCCCTCCCGGGAGCCGACCCGAGCTCCTGCCCGCTCCCGTGCACCCGGAGGCTTTGGCACCGGGGAGGGAGGTGCAGATAAACTCTCTCTAACGTGTCTGTGTGGTTCTCTGTCCTCCTCCCCCAAGTGCTGACTCCCGCCCTCCCCGTTCCCGAGATTCTTGCCTGGAAAGGAGGCTGCCTGTGCCTCGGGCTCAGCCACTGTGGGAGTGGGTAGGGGGGCCGTGGGAGTGGGTGGGGCGTGGGAGTGGGTAGGGGGTGTGTGCATGGGGGCCGTGGGAGTGGGTAGGGGGGCTGTGGGTGTGGGGGGGCGTGGGTGTGGGGGGGGCGTGGGAGTGGGGGGTGTGGGTGGGGGCCGTGGGAGTGGGTGGGGGCGTGGGAGTGGGGGGGACCGTGGGTGTGGGTGGGGGCCGTGGGAGTGGGGGGGACCGTGGGTGGGGGTGGGGGGCCATGGGAGTGGGTGGGGGGGCTGTGGGTGTGGGGGGGCGGCCTTGCTGGAGGAAGACAGAGCTTCCTCGTGGCTGGCACAGTGACCCAGGTCACCTATGCCCGGCTTGCTGACGGTGTCGGCGTCTCCGGGCCTGCCCTCCCCACGCCTTGCTCCTCTGGGTGGGCTCTCCACGCTGCTGAGACGCCCAGGCCCCCCACCGGCTGTCCCGTCCCAGTGGCGTTCAGGCCTGGCCCTTCCGGCCGCTTCCATGGTGGCCACTGGCAGCTGGGCCGCCTGGTGCTGCTGCACTGAGACCTCAAGGCGGGCGTCCTCCATTTCTGAGACGAAATGCGCGCAGAGAATAAGCAGCTTGTGTAACTGTCGCCCGGGGTTTAGCCCAGTGACCGACATGCGAGTCTTTCCGGGCTGCAACCAAGCTTCACGCGCTTCCTAACCGGATCACATCTGCCCGGCCCCTCCAGCACATCCACAGCCGCCTGGAGCAGGCAGCGGGGCAGCTTCCTTTTCCCGGCCCCGCTCACGGTACTGCAGCACCTGCTCGGACCCTCGGGTCCATCGGTGAATGCAAGAAGCCAAGGTCTCGCCCGGTAGTGCTTTGGTCCTGGCAGGGAGAGTCGGAAATAACTCGTGTACGTGTGGAGTGTGCCCGAGGCACGAGGGCGGGGAGCCTGTGGGCCTGGTGGGGGGGAGAGCGGGTGTGGTGATGGACGGGTTAGGTGATGAGGACTCCGGGGGCCGAGTCAGGGCGGAGCGGTGGGAGGGGGGAGGCTCAGGAGGGTTGTTTATGGTGTGCTGCCCAAAGTGGTACCCATTTGGCTGTTGAAAGTAATTTTAAAAGTTCAACATTCAGTTCCGACTTAAAGGACCTGACAGCCACCTGTGGCTGGTGGCTCCCACGCCGCTCGGCGGCTCCCAAGCATTTCCGTCATCTCGGCAAGCCCTGTTGCCAGTGCCGGCCAGGGCTGTTGCCCTCCCTCGGAAGCGGCCAGATGGTGCCAGGAAGCTGCCCACTTCTCGCGGGCACCCTGTCGGGCCCTAACCACGGCCGTTGCTAGCGGCGAGGGTGGGGCCCGGCCAGGCGCGCACCAAGGTTCACACGGCTCTCCGAGCGGAGGCGCGTGCGTATGGGGCGCTGGCCACCGCGGTCTAAGGAACCCCACAGCGCTGCACCGCTCTGTCTTAGAGGAGAGAATCTGGAGTCAGCCAGTCGCCTCAGGCCCTGAGGTCTAAGAACCAGGCTCTGCAGCAGTCAGTCTGCTCCTCCAGACATTTGGGGATCCAGACGTCCAGTCCCCCGGCTTGACTGGGCCGGCGAAGGGTCACTTGTGCAGGCAGGCTGGGGCAAGTCCTGACGTAGGGGGCCCTTTGGGGCCCTCGGCCGCCTCTGGGCTCTCCCAGCGCAGGTGCCGAGGGAATGGGGGGTTTTGAGCTTGCTTTTCCTCTCCCACTTCCTGTGCCCCCCTCGTGTCAGGGAGCCCCTTCCCCGAGCAGCCAGCTCTCGTTGCCCAGGCGGTGCCCGTGCCGGTGGGCACACGGGGCGGGCCGGGGAGAGCAGCAGCCGTCATCCACACCCAGGCGGCCAGGTCTCGGCGGCGTGCTCGCAGTGTGCGACACTGCTGACAAGTCAGGACCGTCTTCTGCGGGCCCCAGGGTCCTGGGTCCATCTGATCAGTTGAGTACCGTGGTTGCAGGCTCCTTTCTGGCCCGGGTCCTGGTTGGACGCATGCAGGAGGCAACCAATCGATGTGTTTCTCTCACATCGATATTTCCATCTTTCCCTCTCTTCCACTCTAAAAATTAATGGAAAAATATCCTTCGGTGAGGATTAAAAAATAAGTCAAGACGGTCTCAAGTGGGGAGTCAGAAGAGGAAACCAATGGGACGGCCTTCCACCCTGATAACACCCTCCCGCGGGCCCTTCCTGGCGGCACGCAGCCCGTGCCCAGTGGCTGGCCCTGGTCCTCAGCTTCCCGCCGAAGCAGTGCTAGTCCATTGTGCAGGCTCCATGCGGTGAGAAACACCCAGGACTCAGTGTGGGTCTGTGTGGCTGCCCCCCCACCCCCTTCCCGGGCCGGCGGCCACCCTGTCATCCGTGGAACCCAGGCCTCACCGGATTGGCCTGTGTGGATCCCTGGGTCGGGACGGTGCGGCTGCAGGCGCTGGAGACCAGACGGACTCCCAACGGACTCAGTGGCCCCTCCTCCCGTGTTCTGTGACCGGAAGTGTGTGCTCCCTGAGGGTGTGCCCCTGTTCACTCCTCCGATCCTTCTAGGCCCGTGACACGCCACCGTGGGAGCATGTCCTTCCTGGACCTCTGCCGCCCAGGGCCCGGGTCCTTTTCCTGCCGCCCTCACTCCAGAACCCGCCGCCGCCCCGCAGCCCCCCTACCAGAACCCGCCGCCCCGCAGCCCCCCTACCAGAACCCGCCGCCCCCCTACCAGAACCCGCCGCCCCCCTACCAGAACCCACCGCCCCCCTACCAGAACCCACCGCCCCCCTACCAGAACCCTCCGCCCCCCTACCAGAACCCTCCGCCCCCCTACCAGAACCCTCCGCCCCCCTACCAGAACCCACAGCCCCTCTACCAGAACCCGCAGCCCCGCAGCCCCCCTACCAGAACCGCCGCCCCCCTACCAGAACCCGCAGCCCCCCTACCAGAACCCGCAGCCCCTCTACCAGAACCCACCGCCCCCCTACCAGAACCCTCCGCCCCCCTACCAGAACCCTCCGCCCCCCTACCAGAACCCTCCGCCCCCCTACCAGAACCCGCAGCCGCCCTACCAGAACCCGCAGCCGCCCTACCAGAACCCACCGCCCCCCTACCAGAACCCACCGCCCCCCTACCAGAACCCGCAGCCCCCCTACCAGAACCCGCAGCCGCCCTACCAGAACCCGCCGCCCCGCAGCCCCCCTACCAGAACCCGCAGCCGCCCTACCAGAACCCACCGCCCCCCTACCAGAACCCGCAGCCGCCCTACCAGAACCCACCGCCCCCCTACCAGAACCCGCAGCCCCCCTACCAGAACCCGCCGCCCCCCTACCAGAACCCACCGCCCCCCTACCAGAACCGCCGCCCCCCTACCAGAACCCGCAGCCGCCCTACCAGAACCCACCGCCCCCCTACCAGAACCCGCAGCCGCCCTACCAGAACCCACCGCCCCCCTACCAGAACCCGCAGCCCCCCTACCAGAACCCGCCGCCCCCCTACCAGAACCCACCGCCCCCCTACCAGAACCGCCGCCCCCCTACCAGAACCGCCGCCCCCCTACCAGAACCGCCGGCGCCCCGTATCAGAGCCCAGAGTCGGAATTCAGCATGTTTACTGCCCCGCAGCAGGGGGCCTGCTGAAGCTGCCCCCCCAGGGCAGCTCCGACCGCTCAGCCTGGGCAGGTGACGTGGTGGGCTCCTGCCTGACGGGGGGCCATGCGGGTCCCTGGTGGGAGGCGGAGCAGGAAGCAGAGCTGCGGAGAGAAGGGTTAATGGCTCTCACCCAGTGCCAGCGGAGCCCAAGCCCACTCGCACACACTGGGGTTCCACCGCCCCTCCCCTCCCCTCCGGAAGAGCTACCTTCTGGAGCAACTCCAGGAAGCCCGAGTCATGGGACGCATTTGCCAGAAAGGAATCCTTCAGCTTCAGCCGCAAAGCCAGGCCCGGCCCTGGGGACCCAGACACAGCTTAGGACCCAGCCCCGCCGAGGAGGGGGCCCCTGCTCCCTCTCCCCTCCACACCAGCCCTCCCAGCCCCTCTGCAGCGGGTCACCGGAGCTCAGCTCAGGACCGTGCCTCCGTCCCGCCAGCTCCCCTTCCCGGCCTCCTGCCTCGAGGACCCCGTGTCCAGCCCTGAGCCCTCACCTGCTCCTTGGGAGCTGCCCAGGAGGGCCAGGAGGAGGAAGAGGGGCAGTCTGGCCCCCATGGTGGCCCAGCTCTCCTCCGGTGGGTAGCAGAGGCGCCTGAGCCCTGGCCTGCTGGCCTGCCTCCTACAGCCAGTCCCTAGCACAGGTGTATGTGTTAGGGGGCGGGGGGACGACTGAGTCCGTGTGGAGGGAAAAGGTGGGTAACTGGATTGTCCAGTTCTCCCAACATGGTTCTGAGGACCCAGGAGAGCCATTCACTGGGCTGCTGGGAAGAGTGGGTGGTCCCTCCTCAGCCTCCTCCATGGATGCGGTCCTGCAGGTTGTCTGGGCCTCACCCAGCTGGGCCTCTCATCGCTTTGTAGGGATTAATTATTAACCACAATTAATTTCCACCATTCGTGCCACGAAGGGCTCAGGAATGTGGGTCCACAAGGGAGGGGTGGATTAGCCAAGTTTCTTCCCAAACCAGAACCCGCTCACAGCCAAGTCCCGGCCAGGGCAGCCTCAGTCTCCAAACATCCCAGACACTCAGGTGGAGGCACGGCCTCACCCACCCCCTCGCGCTTCCCATTCAGGCAGGCAGGACACCGCCCCCCAGGCACAGGCGCGGCACGGCAGACTCGGCGCAGATGTGGGGAGGGGGCTGGGAGCCATCCACGCACCATCTTTCTTTAAAACCAGGAAGTGAGGCCCAGAGGGGGCGAATAGCTTACTCAGGCCAACACAAGTCAGCAGCAGGGGCTCAGAACTCATCCTTCATTCTGACTGACAAGATCGACACCCCAGTCACTAAGCCTCTGTCCTCCTGTTTGCCTCTGTATGTAACACCTCCCCCACCCCCCAAAACCGGAGGGCCCAGCACAGGACACTGGAGCAGAGAGGGGGCACCTGCCCAGCAGCGGGACCAGACCTGTGCACACAGGAAGGCCAGCAGGCTCAGGGAGCAGGCAGGCACTCGGAGAGACGCGAGGGCGTCGTGTCTCCGTCCCAGCGGACATTCCCTGGACCGTCCTGCAGGCCCTGAAACGGCGGGAGCCCTCTGGGGTGTGACGATACTCTTGTGACAGACGTGCCAGCACAGCTGGGAGCCATGGAGCCGGCCGCCGGCCGGAGCTGGCCCTGACCTGCGGTGCGCTCGCCTTCGGCACCGTGGGGTCCTCCCTGCTGCTCTCCCCTGGGTGGGGAGCTTCTCTGGCTGCAGCCCGGGGTGCGGCAGGACTCCGGTGTCCACCCCCCTCCCAGGGTCTCCTGAGGGTCAGTGCGACCCCCAGGCCAGGACGTCCTTCGCCTACCAGCTCCCAATGCCTGCTCCTCCCAGAGACCCAGGTGCCCTCACCCCATGGCGGTGCTCCAGAGCGCAGCAGGCAGGGGGAGGGCACGCCCTCCCTCCAGGAGGGTCTGCAGGGCGCTGACTCAGGCTGGGGGTAGGTGCCTGGTCTGGGAGGAGCCTGAGGGCCAGGCAGGGGAGTCCTCAGGCTTTTACTCACGCTCCCCCTCGCCCAGTGCTTCCCGGGATCAAGCTGGGATGGGTTAATCCTCTGGGGACAGCTTGGGGACCTCTCCCTGGGGACGGAGATCCTGGTGTTGATGGAGGTCCCGGCACACCTGGCTCTCCAGGGCCTTTAAAAGCCGGGCCGTGGCCTGCGAAGGCACCAGGCTGGCACCATGGACGCCGCGAGGGTACTGCTCCTGGGCCTCCAGGCCTTCGCCACACTCGGTGAGCAGGCTCCAAAGCGGTGCCGGGTGCCGGGTGCGGGGTGCGGGGTGCGGGGTGCGGGGTGCCGGGTGCCGGGTGCCGGGTGCCGGGTGCGGGGTGCCGGGTGCGGGGTGCGGGGTGCGGGGTGCGGGGTGCCGGGCGAAGACCCAGGGACATCTCCTCTTCTCACTGATGCTGTTCTTTCCAACAGCTCAGCTGAACCCATGGAGGACCACAGCATCTGCAGGCCTCCCCGCTGTCTCTGACAGTCTCTCTCTCTCGGGGGATGTCCCAGAGGGCCTCCCCTCTGTCTCTGGGGGCCTCCCCTCTGTCTCTGGGGACCTCCCCTCTGTCTCTGGGGGCCTCCCCTCTGTCTCTGGGGGCCTCCCCGCTGTCTCTGGGGGCCTCCCCTCTGTCTCTGGGGGCCTCCCCTCTGTCTCTGGGGGCCTCCCCACTCTCCCTGGGGGCCTCCCCTCTGTCTCTGGGGGCCTCCCCTCTGTCTCTGGGGGCCTCCCCACTGTCTCTGGGGGCCTCCTCTCTGTCTCTGGGGGCCTCCCCGCTGTCTCTGGGGGCCTCCCCTCTGTCTCTGGGGGCCTCCCCGCTGTCTCTGGGGGCCTCCCCTCTGTCTCTGGGGGCCTCCCCGCTGTCTCTGGGGGCCTCCCCTCTGTCTCTGGGGGCCTCCCCGCTGTCTCTGGGGGCCTCCCCGCTGTCTCTGGGGGCCTCCCCGCTGTCTCTGGGGGCCTCCCCTCTGTCTCTGGGGGCCTCCCCACTCTCCCTGGGGGCCTCCCCTCTGTCTCTGGGGGCCTCCCCTCTGTCTCTGGGGGCCTCCCCACTGTCTCTGGGGGCCTCCCCTCTGTCTCTGGGGGCCTCCCCGCTGTCTCTGGGGGCCTCCCCTCTGTCTCTGGGGGCCTCCCCACTGTCTCTGGGGGCCTCCCCTTTGTCTCTGGGGGCCTCCCCTCTGTCTCTGGGGGCCTCCCCTCTGTCTCTGGGGGCCTCCCCTCTGTCTCTGGGGGCCTCCCCTCTGTCTCTGGGGGCCTCCCCGCTGTCTCTGGGGGCCTCCCCTCTGTCTCTGGGGGCCTCCCCGCTGTCTCTGGGGGCCTCCCCGCTGTCTCTGGGGGCCTCCCCGCTGTCTCTGGGGGCCTCCCCACTCTCCCTGGGGGCCTCCCCTCTGTCTCTGGGGGCCTCCCCTCTGTCTCTGGGGGCCTCCCCTCTGTCTCTGGGGGCCTCCCCGCTGTCTCTGGGGGCCTCCCCTCTGTCTCTGGGGGCCTCCCCACTGTCTCTGGGGGCCTCCCCGCTGTCTCTGGGGGCCTCCCCGCTGTCTCTGGGGGCCTCCCCGCTATCTCTGGGGGCCTCCCCACTGTCTCTGGGGGCCTCCCCACTATCTCTGGGGGCCTCCCCGCTGTCTCTGGGGGCCTCCCCTCTGTCTCTGGGGGCCTCCCCACTGTCTCTGGGGGCCTCCCCACTGTCTCTGGGGGCCTCCCCTCTGTCTCTGGGGGCCTCCCCACTGTCTCTGGGGGCCTCCCCTCTGTCTCTGGGGGCCTCCCCGCTATCTCTGGGGGCCTCCCCGCTGTCTCTGGGGGCCTCCCCTCTGTCCCTGGCGTTGTGTCTGCGACTGTCCCCACTGTGTCCGTGCCCTCAGCCTCTGGAAACCTCCCCAGTCACCCTCCGACTTCCGCGCCGCCCTCGTCCGGGGGCGCTTCCGGCCCCGGCTCCGCGCTGCCAGGTGAGGCTTCCGCTCTCAGTCCTCCGGCCGGCGGCGGGCTTCCCTGCGGCCTGTGAGCCGTGAGGGGAGTCCCTCGCCTCCCCGTGGCTTCTGCCTTTTGTAGCCGCCAAGACATCCTCCTGCCAACTGCCAGGCCATGAAAACATTCTCCACCGTGTTCTTCCCGAAGCTTTGGTATTAGTTTCAAACTTAAGCCTGGGAGCCATCGCAGGTTAATTCCTGGCATGGAGGGGCTCCAGTTCAAGTTTTCCCAGAACCATTGATTTCCCGGACCCTCGGCCGCCCTCCGCTGCCGTGCGGGTGCCTCTGGCGAGGCCAGGTCTGTCTGCCAGACCACTGAGGCCCTCTCCGCCCACCCACCCTGCCCCACCCCACCGAGGTTCTGTTCCCAAGAGGATGGGGAAAGTCCACCGGGAGGCGGAATTGAGGCCCTCTGGCCTGGGTCCCTGACCAGCAAGGCTCTGCCCCTCAGGCCCCGCGCTTCCAGACTGGGCCATCGTGCTGATCACGCTCACCGTGGTGGCAGCCATCGGCAGCTCACTGTACGGCATCAAGAAGGTGAGGGACGCTGGGACCTGTGCCAGGTCCTGACAAGAGCAAGGGCTTCGGAGAGAAGGGTGACAGCTGGCCGCACACAGGGAGGAGGAAGGAGGGGAGAGGGGGGAGGGGGGAGGGGATGAGGGAGGGAGAAGGGGGGAGGGGAGGGGGAGGGAAAGGAAGGAGGGGAGGGAGGGGGAGGGAAGGGGAGGGGAGGGAAGGGGAGGGGGAGGGGTGAGGATGTGAGGAAGGAGGAGACAAGAGGAGCTGGGGAGGGGCCTCGGCTGACCCATCTACCCCCTCTCCTCACAGGCCTGTCAGTTCCGGAAGGAGATGAGTGTGGGGTGCGGCTGTGGTTCCGTGACCCCGAACGGCTGCCACCACGAGGTCACCGGCCAGCGCTTCTCCGTCAAGTGACGGGCTGGGCTGGCTGGCACACCCTCCCCTTGGCCTTCCTCCTTCCTCTTGGAAACAGACCCGTAAGGAGGACAGCCGGAAGCAGGAAGAGCCAGAGGAAGCAGCCTCCTCGGAGCGGCGGGGTGGGGGGTGGGAGGTGGGGGGTGGGGGGTGAGGGGCGGGCGGGTGGGAAATAGACTCGGGGTGGAGGCCGTGCAGGTGGACGGGGTCAGTGTGATGCTGTCCAGCAGAAACGGGTGCATGTCACACCTGTGTGTTCTCAATAAAGGACGTTGGGTAACTGAGGAAATCCTGTGAATGGCACAGAGCTTCCACGCCCCCGCCCGCCCCCCACAGTGTTCTCCCCGAGGGTTCTCTCCATGGCCTCGCCGAGTCCTCGCCGCGCCTGCGCCCAGCCCCACCCCCTGCAGCTGAGCACCTCGCGTGGATCCCCAAGACACAGGTGGAGCCCCTTCACATCTCCTTCCATATGGAGCGTGGGCCTGGCTGTCCCAAGCCCCATCCTCCTCTCTGCGGTGAGGGCCCGCCCCTGTGATGACCCCCGGACGGGGTGGGTGCTGAGGGCTGCTGCCCGCCCCCCGCGGTCCCGGCCTGACATTTGCCCCAGTACGAGGGCTTTGCGCCAGGCAGGCACCAGCCCCGTCTGGCTCCGCTGCTGCCGGCTTCGGCAGGTCCGGGGGTTTCTTCTCATCTGTAAAACGGCCATGTCGGTGCCTCACTCGGTGCACGGAACGCGCCGGGGCTGGCGGGGCTGCTTGGGACCGGCCCTCAGCTGTAGCTCGGACACAGCCCTCCGTCCTGGTTCTGCCTGGGTCCCGGGTCCGGGGGAGGTTGTGGTTAAAAAGACGGGGCGTTTGTTACACAACAAACCCCCCCCCCCCCCCCCCCCCCCCCCCGCTCTGCGGACAGACGGAGCTCTCTGTGTGCAGGGGGGCGTGGCGAGGAGGCCCAATGTCCCTGAGGGGCCCGGGCCGTGCCTGCCTCAGGCCCCGTCCTGTGGGCGTGGCCGGCGCCGAGGAGCCAGTCCTGGCCTGATGCCCCGGAGCCTCATTAATCTCCCATTAATCACGTTAATGAGCAATTGGCCTGCTCTGCTCTTCCCACCCACTGCCGCCCTGCCCAGGCGCGGGGACTAGTCACACCACGCGATGGGAGGCATTCCCACGCTCGGCCCTCGGCCCGGGAGCCCGCGGCCCGGCCTGGTCCTCCGCTCCGCTGCCGGGTCCTCCGCTCCGCTGCCGGGCCCTCCGGCGGCGCTGGCACCTCCCCAGGTGCTGTGAGCCAGGCCGCGGCTTCCGGCTTCCCGGAGGAGACCCTCAGGGAGCACAGGGAGGGGCTGACCCTCCGCCTCTCCCCCAGCCCGGCCAGCCCCGGGCCAGAGGATGAGTGTGGACAGCCTCGGAGCTAATGCCTCGGGCTCGGAGCAGGAGGGAGGAGGCCCGGGACCCTCGCGTGAGGGTCTGCCTTTCTGTGGTGGAGGAGGGGGGAGGGGCCCCTGGGTGGCCCGGCCTGTCCCTCCGGGTCCCTGTCCGCTCTCCCCTCGCAGCCCGTCTCCACGGGCAGCCGCCCTGCTCTTTCCCTGACCCCTGGCTGCCCCGCCCAGCCCGAGAGGGGCCCTGTGTGAGCAAGGGGCGTGGGGCAGGCAGGCGCCCGCCGGGGAGAGAGGACGAAGAATTGGACTCCTCCCTCTGAACAGGGCACCGGCCCCCTCCCGTCCCGCCGGCCAGGACCCAGTCCTGGCACCTGCCACCTGCTCCCCTCCCCAGAGCCCTGCAGGGGGCGTCTCCTCCCAGGCCCAGTCCTGGCTCCCTCACCGGCAGCTGCGGTCGGTCTCCTTATCGGCAGCCTGCGGGGTGGGGCGGCTCCGTTTGCTTAAGGTTCAGGCCGAGGGGCCCCTGCCCCCGTGACGTCAGAGCTGGCCGGTATAAGGTGAGGGGCCACAGCCTCAGCCTCAGGCAGCCCCGTGCGACATGGCAGGCCCGGACCACTGCGCCCGCTCCGGCCTTGGCCTCGGCTGCTGCCTCCTCTTCCTCCTCGCTGCTCAGGAAGCAGGTAAGATGCGGTGAGAGGGGAAGGACGGCCGGGGCACAGGGGACAGGGGCAGAGACGGGCTTCTGAGTTTGGGCTGAACGAGCAATCACGGAAATGAGCCGCAGAGAACGTGCCGGCCAGGCGGGCCACGGCCTCCAGTCCAGGCTGCGCGCCGGGCGGCCAGGGTGCGCGGCCAGGACCCGCCTGGCACGCCCCGCGGTGCGGGGAGCTCACGGACGCCGGGCCTCCTCTCCGTCGTTCCCGGAACCGGAGCGGCTGGTGGCATCCGCCGCAGAGGAGAGCGAGGCTCAGAGGGTGAGGCTGCGCACTGCCCGCCACCCGGGCACGGCTGCGCCTGTCCCGAGAGTCCGGTTCTGTGCTGACCCTGCTCCGCCCCGACGGCGCAGGTCCTCAGCCCACACCCCGGAGCAGCGCCTGGCCGCGGGGTCCTCCCGGCAGCGGCGGGGCGCGTCCCCCTCCACCGCGGGGAAACGCCCCGTGAGGACATGAGCGTGGACAAGCTAGGCAGGCCCTGGAGGACAGAGCGACCCCAATCATTTCTGGGGAGCAGCTCTGAGCCTGCGCCCAGGGAGGGCTGCCAGACAGACAGGCAGACGACGAGCCCCATCACTGAGACTCCCTTCGCAGAGGGGGTGGTCTGCCTGGCTGCTGGGGCAGGATCTGGGCAGAGCGGGCAGCAGCTTCCGGAGCGACTCAGGTGACATCAGGGAAGCTCAGGGCCTCGGGGGCGGAGGCCAGCGCAGGGCGGCACAGGGCGGCTGAGGAGCCGCCTCTGCCAGGTCTCGGCAGCGCCTTCGCCTGCGTCCTCCTGCTCCGAGGTCAGGGTCAGAGCCACGGTCAGCCCCAATCTCCATGCCCCATCCCTTTCCTGCAGGGCTGCCCTCTGCTCTGCTCCCCGCCCACCGGGCCTGGCGGGGCAGAAAGGCATGATCGGGGCATCAACCCCAGCACGGTCACCTCCGAGGGACATTTGCTCTGGGGCCCAGGACAGGCAAGGGCGGACGCACAATCCGAGTCCCAACGTGGGACATCGGTGGGCGGTGGCCTGGCGATGGCTGGCGGGTGGGCCTGGCGATGGCTGGCGAGTGGGCCAGGCCAGGGCGGCTGGTGCTCAGACCTGCAGGCAGAGCCAGGGCAGGGAGCAGCGAGGGCGGGGACAGTGGGGGCTTGAGGCCCAGCGGGTGACATGCATGTGAGCAGTGAGGTCCAGCAGAGAGGGGGGAAGGTGGCGGCTGGAGCCATCGATCCACGGGACCAGCCTCTCCCCACACAGGTAACTGGACCCCGGGCCCAGCCTGGGGTGCCGCCGCGGGCCTGCGAGTGGAGAGGCGCCGCCCCTGAGGGGACCCTGCGGGGCTGGCGTCCTGGGGTCCTGGAGACCCATGGGAGTGCTATTTGATTTAAGCTCTGCGGTGAAAACAATATATAGACATCAAGAAACCAAAAAATAGAAACAATTAGAAAGAAAACTCTCCTAACCCTTTGTGGTCACAGGAAATACACCGTAACCATTTGGGTGTGTCCCTCAGTCTGCTGTTCCTGTGTCACCCAGTGGGGCCATGGAGACATCTGAACAAGCCCCCCCACTCGACTGCCAAGGACAGGCAAGCAGCCACGGAAACACTGCCTTCCTGTCAAACATGTGAACAGCCCTGGCCGGTGTGGTTCAGTGGATAGGGCATCAGCCTGCGGACTGCAGGGTCCCAGGTTCGATTCTGGCCAAGGGCACATGCCTGGGTTGTGGACTCGATTCCCAATGTGGGGCGTGCAGGAGGCAGCTGATGAATGATTCTCTCTCAGCATTGATGTTTCTCTCTCCCTCCCTCCCTCTTCCTCTCTGATCAATAAAAATGTTAAAAAACAAAAACCCCGTGAACGGAGCAGCTCCCCGGCCTCTGCTGTCAGGGAAACGCCCTGTGAGCTTCCAGGGAAACAGCCGCCGCGGTGATGGGTATTCTGGGGAGAAGAGACTGTCAGCTTGTCCGGTTCAGCCTGGTTTGCCTGTGGTGGGCCGGGCAGAGGAGCCGGGGCTTCCACTCGTAAATGGGGCGGCCGTTTTGGGGGTCCCAGTGTCTGGCCGCTGGTTCCACTGCTGTGGGACCCGGACCCGAGTCCAAGACGTGGGGTCGGAGGCCGGCCCGGACTCCGTGCTCCGTGGCAGCCGCCCCGGGTTGGATCAGCGGAGGCCTCCCCCAGCTCAGCCCCCCCCCCCCCCCTCGGGGCCGCAGGGTCTGCTTTCCGCTCCAGGTGCGTACTGACCGGCTCTGACCGGCTCTGGGCGCCCACCAGGCTAATAGTCTCTGGTTCATCCATCCAACAAGTACTTACGAAGGCAGGCTCCTGGGCCGGCCATTGTTCTGGGCTGGGGACGCCGACGAACAGACAGACAAACCGGTCACGGTGGGAATCACATACGTGCGGTCTGCTAGGCAGTGGGGAGGCCACGCTGATCCAACCCGGGGCGGCAGCCCAGCGCCGGGCAGCGGCGCACAGAGCAGTGGTCCCGAGAGGCCCGGGGTGCAGGGCTGCGGGCCGCCCCGCCGGGGCAAGTGTGAGACGGCTTCAAAGCTGAAATTCAGACCGGACCTCTGTGCAGAGCTGCTGCGCGGCCGGCCCGCCCGCCCTGCCGCTGCGGGGGCAGCCTCGCCGCAGGCGCTAGGACCCGGCGCCTCGGGGGCGCGGTGACCTGAGCCCGGCTCCGGCCTGGGGCCTGGGGTGGCGGCAGGTGGCCGCTGTGCTGCCCACTGCTCCCTCGTCTCCTGAGCCGCTGGGTGCAGCGAGCGGCCTGCCTTTGCCAGCTATGTCATCGCGTTAACCTCCTTTCACCGTCACACCGCGGGCCACGCTGGCCTCAGTCTGTGGGAAAGACGCAATAACGAACAGACGCAGCCTCCTCCAGGGCCCATGAGGGCTGCACTCCCTGCCCCACGGGACGAGGCTGGCCTACAGGTGCCGCCTGGCCTGTGCGCCAGGAGCCCGAATGGAGTCTGCTTACTTGCTGAGGGTTTTGGGGAGATTACTTAACCCCCTTGTTTGCTCATCTATAAAACGGGGAGAGTAACAAAGGGTTGTGATGAAAAGTAAATGAGTTGTGCACGTCCTCATTTGTAGGGCCTGCCTGCTCCACAGTCAATAGTCAAGAAAGGTTGGTGCCTGGCCAGGTGGCTCAGTGGGTTGCACGTCATCCCAGACACCAAAGGGTGTGGGTCTGATTCCTTGTCAAGGCACAAACCTAGGTTGTGGGTTTTCTCTCAAGCTGGGGTGCGTAAGGGAGGCAGCAGATCCCCCTCTCTCCCTTTCTCTCCCTCTCAAATCAAATATATCCTTAGGTGAGGATTAAAAAAACAAAGGCTGGCCATTGCTGTTGTCAAGTTTCTTGGCTGTAAAATAAGGAAGTAGACAGCTTCTAAGGTGCCTTGAGGGGACCTGGGAGATCGGAGGAGAATCCACAAAGAGAATGTCTGTGAGGCGAGCGTGGAGTGCGTGGCCAGGGAAGGCGCCCAGTGAACGAGAGCTGTTGTGGCCGAGGGGGTGGGAGAATGGCTGGCACAGCGAAGGGATGGCCTGGCTGTCCAGCCTTCCTCTCTCGCCCCAGCCTCCACCCCCTTCAGGGACGTGGGCTTCTCTACCACCTCCCCCTTCTCCTCCCACCCACACTTCTTTCAAGGACTGCGTTCCCCAGCCCCCACTGCCCTTGTCAGCTGGGTGGACTGAGGCTCCCCTGATTGGGAACGGGTCCAGGCTCTGGTCACCACCTTGAGCTAACAGCTGGAAATCTCAGTTACATAACAGCACTATCTCTCATTCCTTGGTGATCTCCTGGCTCACTCAGAGACATCTCCTCTGTCCCCAGGTTGCTTTTCATGGAATTAAGGTCCATATCATATCTGTTCAGAGATAGGGTGTTTTCCCTCACACCCTGTCCTTAAACATAGTCAGCTTCTCCCAGAATGCAGCCGCCTCCTTCACTCCTCTCAGGACCCTGAGCAGATTTCTTTTCCTTAAAAGAGTGCTACCTCCCCAGAGGCTCCAGCTGTGAGCGGCTAAGAGGAGCATCCAGGGAAGGAACTAGAGGGTTGAGCCATTTATTCTACTTCCCTTCACCCAGACCAAACTCCACCACCAAGATGAAAGTTTCCACCATTCCTTTTTTTCTTTTTTCTTTTTTTAAAATATATTTTATTGATTTTTTACAGAGAGGAAGGGAGAGAGATAGAGAGCTAGAAACATCGATGAGAGAGAAACATCAACCGGCTGCCTCTTGCACACCCCCTACTGGGGATATGCCTGCAACCAATGTACATGCCCCTGACCGGAACCTTTCAGTCCGCAGACCGATGCTCTATCCACTGAGCCAAACCGGCTTTGGCCCTCCATTCCCTTTTTAATGCCTTTCTCACTCATCACCTGTGCTTTCTTACTAAGCCTTGTGGGAAGTTCTGCCAGAGTCTGACCTCAGCCTCTCAGGCTGGTACACTTGGGATGGACTTGGAATGTTAGAGAAAGACAAAGATTCTGATACTTACTCCCTTTCTTCTCGCCATGGAAAGGGAGCTCCATTCCATAAGCACCATGTAAACCCTCAAGGAGCATGTGTGCAGCAAAAGGCCATCAGGATCCGTTCTCAGCGGTATGGTTTGATAGGCAGGGCAGAGAGGTACACTCAACTATTATAGCATTTAAAGTTGAGTAATTCTCAACAATTTTTTGAGCACTGAGGTGAAGTTACATCTTATCTGCTTGAAAGGACCAGGAAAAATGCTATAAAGCGAGAAAGATCTAAACTTCAGAATTGGGGACTAGAGGTGGAGAAGGGGGAGGTAACATTCTTGCTGAAGACACAGCCTGAAAACAGGTTCAGAGACTCGAGGTGAAGATGAGGATGAGATATCATAGTTTTCTGAGGTGACTGGATGAGGAGCTATATCTGGGGTCAAAAATGGACTCCTAGAGATGGAGGTGGGCAGGGGAGCAGGGAAGAACATGGAGGAAGTTTCTTACTTGCCTCTCTTTCTTTACAGATGCTACCACACTTCAAGAACTCCAGGACACTGGTGAATCCCCAACGTCTGATCATTTATCCCCTCCTACTCCAAACCTTGTTTATAGTATTCCCTCGCACCACACTGCTCTTCATTTAGGACATAGTAGTCCAGACCATCCTAAACCTACAAAAAACCATCAGCCCAAACACCATTGCCATACCACACACAATTTCAGACCAATTCACAAATCAATAGATAACTCCAAAAACTCTACAACACATCATGAAACTCCTCCCACTTCTGAACAAAACCCTACCAATCAAGGAAAAGACCCAATTATCCGGAATGGACGCTCTGCTGAATCTGGTATCACACATAAAAAATTGTCGAATGCAAAATATCCAACCCCAAGACCCAAGAGCAAAACAACATGTACTACCTCCAAAAAAAGATCACCAACCCACGTTCAACATAGCACATCAGCTCATGAGATCACAAGAGCCCCGGCAATGCCTACAGGCCATGTTCAACACAACACATCAGATCATGTTCAACACAACACATCAGATCATGAGAAGACCACAAGATCCCCAGCAATGCCTACAGGCCATGTTCAACACAATACATCAGATCATGTTCAACACAGCACATCATCCCATGTTCAACACAGCACATCAGATCATGAGAAGACCACAGGAGCCCTGACAATGCCTACAGACCATGTTCAACACAGCACATCGGCCCATGAGAAGACCACAGGAGCCCTGACAATGCCTACAGACCATGTTCAACACAGCACATCAGATCATGAGAAGACCACAGGAGCCCTGACAATGCCTACAGACCATGTTCAACACAGCACATCAGATCATGAGAAGACCACAGGAGCCCTGACAATGCCTACAGACCATGTTCAACACAGCACATCAGATCATGAGAAGACCACAGGAGCCCTGACAATGCCTACAGACCATGTTCAACACAGCACATCAGATCATGAGAAGACCATAGGAGACTTGACAATGCCTACAGACCATGTTCAACACAGCACATCAGATCATGAGAAGACCACAGGAGCCCTAACAATGCCTACAGGTCATGTTCAACACAGCACATCAGATCATGAGAAGACCACAGGAGCCCTGACAATGCCTACAGACCATGTTCAACACAGCACATCAGATCATGAGAAGTCCACAGGAGCCCTGACAATGCCTACAGACCATGTTCAACACAGCACATCAGATCATGAGAAGACCACAGGAGCCCTGACAATGCCTACAGACCATGTTCAACACAGCACATCAGATCATGAGAAGACCACAGGAGCCCTGACAATGCCTACAGACCATGTTCAACACAGCACATCAGATCATGAGAAGACCACAGGAGCCCTGACAATGCCTACAGACCATGTTCAACACAGCACATCAGATCATGAGAAGACCACAGGAGCCCTGACAATGCCTACAGACCATGTTCAACACAGCACATCAGATCATGAGAAGACCACAGGAGCCCTGACAATGCCTACAGACCATGTTCAACACAGCACATCAGATCATGAGAAGACCACAGGAGCCCTGACAATGCCTACAGACCATGTTCAACACAGCACATCAGATCATGAGAAGTCCACAGGAGCCCTGACAATGCCTACAGACCATGTTCAACACAGCACATGGGCCCATGAGAAGACCACAGGAGCCCTGACAATGCCTACAGACCATGTTCAACGCAGCACATCAGATCATGAGAAGTCCACAGGAGCCCTGACAATGCCTACAGGTCATGTTCAACACAGCACATCAGATCATGAGAAGACCACAGGAGCCCTGACAATGCTTACAGACCATGTTCAACACAGCACATCAGATCATGAGAAGTCCACAGGAGCCCTGACAATGCCTACAGACCATGTTCAACACAGCACATGGGCCCATGAGAAGACCACAGGAGCCCTGACAATGCCTACAGACCATGTTCAACACAGCACAGCAGCCCATGAGAAGACCACAGGAGCCCTGACAATGCCTACAGACCATGTTCAACACAGCACATCAGATCATGAGAAGACCACAGGAGCCCTGACAATGCCTACAGACCATGTTCAACACAGCACATCAGATCATGAGAAGACCACAAGATCCCCGGCAATGCCTACAGGTCATGTTCAACACAGCACACCGGCCCATGTTCAACACAGCACATCGGCCCATGTTCAACACAGCACATCGGCTCATATTCAATACAGCACAGTGGCCACAGAGCCAAGCACAGGAGCCTCAGGACAGGCTACAGTGCACACAAAGAAGACCACATCTACCAACGGGAGGGCCACACCAAACCCAGTAGAGCCTACAGAAACCCCAGGAAGAACCACAGCTGCCACAGAGACTATAAGGCCTCCAGTCAAGGTCACAGGAGAGAAATCTATCAGTTCTTCCACTCCTGGTCCAGCTAAAACCGGTCAGGTGCCCACTGGCTTGTCTGCCCTCCCCACTTCTAGCTTGAAGCTGAGTTCTATCATGTCAGAAGCCCCAGTCAACCAGAGCCAAGGATACCAGAACAAAGATGGCTCCCAGGGAGGCCTCCATGGGGGAGAGATGCAGGACGGTGCTTCATTCCCCGCGTGGGCCATCGTTATTGTGGTCCTGGTAGCTGTGATTCTCCTCTTGCTGTTCCTTGGCCTGATCTTTCTGGTGAGGAACAGGGATGCTCCAGTCCGATGGACCCAGGAGTGAGGGAGCTGAGGAGAGGTTATAGATCAGGACTAGAGGGAGTAACGAGTCTAGCAGAAGAATCATGATGGGAAAGGTTGGCAGTAGAGGGGCAGTGGTGGTGAAAATAATAAGGAAAGACAATAGATGCATGGAACATAAAATATAGAATTTGGGGGAAGGTTGTGATGAGGAAAAAGGGTGGAGAGGAGGCAAAATTTGTTAGAACAAGGGAACTAGGATAGAAGAAGGAATTAGAGAAGAGATCTGGACTCTGTATTGGATCAGAGTCTGCAGTAAGGACCGAGTTTGCATGGAATCTTGGGAAAGAAACAAGCAGAAGGCCAGGATTGGGAACAGAAAAGGGCTGAGTAGGGGTATTGAGGAAGCAAATGCATGGCAGTGATGCTCATTTCTCCTTCCTGCTCCCAACCCCAGGTCTCCTATATGACTCGAACACGCAGTGCGCTGGTCCACAGCCATGAGGACAATGACCCAGAGGAGGATGGGGGCCCCAATTCTTACCCAGTCTACCTGATGGAGCAGCAGACACTCGGTGTGGGCCAGATCCCTTCCCCACAATGATCTTTTAGAAAGTGCCCACCCCCCAGTTCTCCCACGCTCTACCCTCTCCTGGACGAGGAAATGGACTCACACTTCCTATTCCTGGGCTACCCAAGGGCAAAGTGCTGTCAGTGAGCAGCATCAGCCCTCCATTGCCATCTTCTTACAGACACTGGTTGGGGGTGGGGGTGGGGGGCGCAGTGATGAGCAAGAAGGATGTGAGTTTGGGAGACAGAAAAGGAAGAACCAGGATAGCAGCAGTGTTCCTGTGGAAGATTATGTTCTGAGAAGGAAAGTTGTTTGATGGACGCTTGGGTGGGAACCAATATGGGCGCTGGCACTGGGAGGGGCAGGGCAGGTAAAGGAGTTCAGGAGCCTCAGAGGACAATGCCCAGATCTGTCTGCTCAGGTGAGAAGGGGAAACTGAGACAGAGCCTGGGTTTCAGGACCAATCTCTCTTATTTCCACTTACTGTCACTTGGTGTGTGTTTAAAAGTCTCTGTTTCCAGGGTCTTACCCCTTTCCTTCTCTCTCTCTCTCTCTTTCTTTCTCTTTCTTTCTTTCTTTCTTTCTTTCTTTCTTTCTTTCTTTCTTTCTTTCTTCCTTCCTTCCTTCCTTCCTTCCTTCCTTCCTTCCTTTCTTTCTTTCTTTCTTTCTTTCTTTCTTTCTTTCTTTCTTTCTTTCTTTCTTTCTTTTTTTTTCTTTTTTTTTTTTCTTTCTTTCTTTCTTTTTTTAAAAAGGGATCTGGGAGGAAAAGATGATTTATTTCCTTCTCCACTCTCCCCATTCCCAGCCGAAATAAAAATTACAAAAAAGACCATAAACATATCTCACTGAGATTGTTCTTCCCTCTCCCTCCCAACCCCTCGGTTTTCCTCAGTGTCTGTGCGGGCGCCTGTGGGCCTGGCTCCCTGGGCTGCGGTGGGCGCAGGGCCCGCACGCTCATCCATCGCCCCCCCCGCCCCGCCCCTACCTCCTCGGCGGGGGCTCTGCCAGCGCTCCGTCCCGCCTCTTCCACTGAGAGCCACTCGCTAATCTTCTCTACTGCCGCCTCCCCCAGCCCGGACCCTTCCCATGAGTATTCCATCGCTACACTTTCTGGTTTTCTTCTACAATCTATTAAAGCTTTCACCTACCACTGACTGAGCAGAGGCGGGAGGGAGCGTAGATAGATGACAGATAATGTCCTTGCAGCTCTGGTCTCTTTATAATAAAGTGTAAAATATTTGCAAAGTAAGCATATCATACTCATTGGACTATCAGGTGGGAGAAAGTCCTGACTGGTGTTCGTGGCTCTGCTGTGACCTTGCCGATGACCTTGAGCAGGACTGGCTAGAGGGGAGGACTGAAGACCTTTGGAGGCTGAGTTTCTACTGCTCCTGTGAGACAGGAGGGGCCCGCGGGCACGCTGAGCTCAATTACAAGGTGACAAATGAGGAGAAAGCTTGTTGTTTATTATGCAAGTTGTTCTAAGCATCCATTACACATTCTGTTTAGGATTATAAAGGACTCTGAGGCAGAATTCCCACCTGAGATACAAATTCAGGAAAATTCAAATTAAATAAATCAGTAAGAGTCATAAATAACAAGGCAGCACTACAGAGGGCAAAACGAGACTAATGCATGAAGCCCACTTAGGGGCACCTGCCCTGTCCCACATCTCTGCCAGCCCCAACTGTCGGTCCCCCCAGGACCTCACCACCCGCCCCGGGTGCCCAGCCTCTCACTGCTCTGAAGGCGCTCTGCCGACCTCAGCTCCGCACCAGCAGACCGCAGGCTGGGGCTATTCGCTGCCGTTGGCACCCCTCCTCGGAGGGCCCGCAGCCCGTGCTGGTCAGACATCCTAAGCTGGACACTCCCTGTCTCCCACCAAGACCCACGCTGCCTGGCTCCCGGCAGGAGGCACCAGGGGCCAGAGGGGCCCAGATTCTGTCCCCAGGAGCCTGAGGCAGAGGGGCTGGAGGGCGGGTGCCTGGGAAAAGGCACGTCCGACCGCTGGTCCCTGGGCAGCCACCCGACAGGGTGCCATCACCCGCCCGGGAGGAAGGGACTCCCCTAACCCAGACTCCACCCCGGCTCTAAAACCAACACACACAAAACCACCGGGCCTGCCCAGGCACCCCCTTGGAGAACTGGGGTCAAAGGGCGTGTGATGGCACTGGCGGGGGTTCTCCCTTCCCACACACCCAATCCCGGCAGGCAGCCATGTGCCTCCCGGGAACACACTCACACTCACACACACACTCACACACACACTCACACACATACACTAACACACACAGTCACACACACAGTCTCACACACACACAGTCTCACACACATGCACATACACACACACAGTCACAGACACTCACACACACGCACTCACATACTCACACACACACTCACACACACACACGCACATACACACTCTCACACACACACAGTCACACACTCACACACACACTCACATACTCACATACTCACACACTCACACTAACACACACAGCCACACACACAGCCTCACACACACACAGTCTCACACACATGCACATACACACACACAGTCACAGACACACACACTCACACACAGTCACACACATACACTCACACACAGTCACACACAGCCACACACACACACACTCACACACACAGTCACACATACTCGCACACACACACTCACACATACACACACAAAGACACACTCGCTCACACACACGCACGTGCACTCATACATACACTCACACACACATGCACATACTCACTCACTCACACACACACTCGTACACACACTCAATCACACGCACACACACTCATACACACACTCACATACATGCACATACACTCACACACATGCACACACATGTGTGCACACACACTCACTCACACACATGCACACTCACTCGTGCACACTCATACACACACACTCACACACACTCACACTCACTCACTCACACACACACATACACACTCACACACATGCACACACTCTCACACACATGCACACTCACACACACACGCACTCACACACACCCACACACACTCTCACACACTCACACACACGAACACTCACACACACGCACACTCACACACTCTCACACACATGCACGTACACGCACGTGTGCAAACACACTCATACACACGCACACATGCACACACGTGTGTGCACACACTCGCACACACAATCACACATTCACGCACACTCACACACTCACACACACATACAGAGGCACACACACTCGCTCACACAGGCACGTGCACTCACACACACACACACTCACATGCACTCACACACACTCACACACATGCACACATACACACACATGCACACACTCGCACACAGACTCACACAACACACACACGCACACTCACACACTCACACACACATACAGAGGCACACACACTCGCTCACACAAGCACATACACTCACACACACACACTCACATGCACTCACACACACTCACATGCACACACACATGCGCACACACACAGACACACTCACACACGCACACTCATACACACACGCACAGACACTCGCTCACACACACACACACACACGCACACGCACACGCACACACACCTCGTCGCTGCCTGGCCGCACGGCCACGGGGCTCAGTGGCCCCCGAGCGGCACTCGCAGGGCCTTGCCATCAGCATCGCCAACCGCGCCCTGCGTCTCACAGCTCGGGCGCGGGCCGCGGGAGGCCACGTCTGTGAGCTCCAGGGCGCTGGGCCCGGCGAAGCCAGAGCCCGTTACAGCGGACCCCGAGGGGGAAACGTTCGGTTCGGAAGCGGAGCCCTGAGCGCGCGGGGGGACCCGCCAAGCAGGAGGAGCGCCCGCTGCTTTCCGCTGACTCTGAGCGCTGCTGGACGGTGGCTCGGAAGTGGGGCTCCGAGCCACGGAAGAACTCAGAATGGGAAGCTAAGGCTCCCTGACACTTACAAACCTGAAGGAAGGGTGCCTGTTCGTGGTGACTGTGCAGTTCGTGGTCCTCTGGGTGCTGGTCAGCGGGGCTGCGCGGTCCCTCCTGCCAGAGTCCCGCTGGGCACTCACGCCACAGCCCCCGATGTGGTGTCACTAAGCCGGCCTTTGGGAGAGCTCCGTTCTGTGCCATCTGGCACAGGGAGAGTGTTCTGTATGTGAGCACAGCTGGCATTCCCGGGCCCCGCCACACGCTCTCCTGCGCTGACGCGGATCGGAAAGTGCGCACGTGGCTCCTGTTTCCCTCTGGGGTGCTGGGCAGAAGCTGACTCAGAGATTCTTTCCCCTCCGTGTCCCATGAAACGGAGTCAGTTCCACAGTGCCATGTCCCTGGAAATCAAAGTTAGATTTTCCTTCTCTTCGGGTTCATCTTGTAATGTCAGTTCAGGGCACTACATAAGTTTCCGTCACCTTCGCAGCAGCGCAGGCGGCACTGTGGACACAAAAGGAAAAGACCCGCCGACAAGAGGCTCGGTGACATCCATGCAGGCTGAGCCCGACCTGTCATTCTTGCAGTGTCACCGTCCCGTACTGATGTGAACGTTTCTTTAAAGTTAAATGGTTAAATTCCCAGCAAGGCCATCTTCCCTTTCCCCCAGTTACAGCCTGATTTGCTGTATTATCTTTCTGTAGTACTGGCGTGATAGCGATGACAGGTTTGTTCTTTTGTAATCTACTGTTGACTCCAGGCTCAGCCCTGTCCCCACCCGCTCCGTGTCCAGCGGTCGGTCTCGCACAAGCCAGAGCTTTCACCGGGCCCTGAGCGCACTCGCACTGGCCTTTCTTACTGTTCAGCTATTGATTGTGGGAGAAAGAAGACTGTTTTGCTCTATAGGAGGCTGTGAAAGTGACCCGGGCAGGACCTAATCTATTCTGTACAAAAAAGGCTGCTTAGTAAGTGGAGTGGCATTGATTTTTTTGAAAATCTGTTCGGCTCAGTCACTGATAAAACATATTACCTGTGAATGTTTGGCCTCTCTGACGATACCTGTCACTGTCCAGTGCCCACCTGTGTGGACACAGAACGATCTGAGAGAAACCAGGCAGAGCTTGGAACACCA